AGATTGTTATTTTTGTAGAAAATTACAGCAGAGAGAGAGAGATATATCACGATGTTCTTTATAATTGAAATAAGTCTGGTTTGTTAAAGATTTATGTGAATATAATTTCTATGAAATGTAGGTTTCGTTTTATTACTTTTTTTTTCTTTTTTTTTTTGTGAAATTTCATGCTTTCCTAGAGTTGACAGGTTTATTTTCATGACATCGATCATTATTTTTATCGTTATCACGTTGCACTCCAAAGAGAGGGAAGGAAAAAGAAGCAAATAAAGTTTCTTTACTTACCAAATATCAAATACTAAAATACATGAAAGAGAGATTACAAGGTTCGTTAGCCTTTCCGTGCAAACAATACGTCAGATTATGCCGCAATAACATCTCAGAGAGACTAGCATAGAACTCTCTCTCTCTCTCTCTCTATTTCTCTCTCTCTTTTTTCCTTGATTTAGATCAGAGAAAATAAAGTGGAAGAAGGAGAAGTAGTAGGAATGATTAAGAACGATGACAAATAACTACTCGGTAAATATTGCTTAAGAGATTTGTATCGAAAAAAAGTCTCTCTCGTTGAATTCAAACAAAAGCATGGATGTTAAGAGTAATGTTTGGTGGTAGTAGGTAGTATAGTTTCCTTTGGAAGGTTTTCTTATCTCATTAAAAATGTAAAAAAAAGTATCCCCACCTCTTCCCACCCGTCGTAGGAGTTCATAGACAATTTCTTGGCTATCGGGAATCGTTTGGTTAGATCTCTTGGCAGGAGACAACACACAAACATATACACTTTTTCACATCTTGTTTTCTCTACTTTTTCTTTTTGCTAAAATAAAAGATAGAAAGAGAGACAGAAAATGAAACACTAGGGAACCCGTTAGACAAGGAAAGTCGATCGTACTTTTAAACTCTCATAGGATTTTGTGTCAGGAGCACGCGCTTTCGCGAGTTACTTGCTCGTTACTCGGTCATTTTGACAGGCGGTGGCGATGGCGGTAGCTGGGAATAGTGACAGCAAGTAGCAAACAGGCATACGGTTGGTTATATTGCTATTCTCAACGACAAAACTCGTTCCATTTGACGGAATCGGGGCCGAGAATGAGAGGTTGAACGAGCGAATAAGCATGCACTGCTCCGTTTTGTGCCGGCGTGTCCGAGTAATTGCTCGAATCACGGTAAACTACAGATAAGATCGATCTTACTTACCAACACACACTTACTTAAGCAATGTATTTATGGGTGTATGTGTTTATATAGCGGTTTTGTGTTCATCGTATTTGAATAAATGTATAATTTGGGTTATTGGATAGTTTTTTTTCTTCCTTTTTTTTTTCAAGCATTTTATCATATCATATCTGTATTCCTTTCTTTTTATTATTTGTTTTATTTACACATAAAACACACATATATTTCGAAAATGAGAATACAACTATTTTATTCGTTATCTGGAACGTTATCGCTAAATGATAACGGTTCTTTTCTTCTTCTTCTTTGAAAGAGTAAGGAATACTTTTGTAATAACTATGACAGTTTTTTTTTTTTTTTTTTTTAAGGTCTCGATCAAACACGAGAGAAAGAGAGAGGAAGAGAGAAAGAGAGAGAGAGGAAGAGAGAAAGAGAGAGAGAGGAACTAACAACTAACCACTTATTCGAATACATTGTAAAGTATTTTTCTATGATAAGTAGTGGGGCTTGTCGGCAGGTGCTATGATACCTGTTGACGATGACATGTTGTAAGCGAGAGATTCACAGAAATCAACTTTTATTATACACGCACCTTTGGATCTAATAAACACAACGGAATTTCGTTTCCTTCCTCGTTCTTTAACGTAAAATACATTGCCACGATGATTTAATGCCGTTGGGTAGTAATTAAAAAAAATAGACAACTTTTATGTGCCATAAATATGAGCTTGATTGTTGATATGCCAAAGAAAAGTAAAGAATGTTCGTTAAGACATACGATTCTTACGATTTATCGTTAAAAAAAGATATATAAATATATATATATAATGAAAAAATATTTGTATTTAATTGTAAGTATATAAAAAAAAAAAAATCAAAAAGTTAAATTATTTTTTCTTGATTTAAATGTACAATTTATCGGATTAACTTGTTGATCGATTAATCTTACAAAGAAAACGCGAACATAACTTATAACTTAACGTGACGATGTTCCGATTCGATGCTCTCTTTTACCGCGAGATTCTTTGACTTCGAGGAATTCGAACTATAAGTGTAAAAGAAAAAGAAAAAAAAAAGAAAAAAAAAACAAGCCGTTATACTTTTGGAAGGGGTAGGGGCAGGGGCAGGGAGAGGGAGAAGGGGGAGGTGGAATCTTCATCGATTCATTCCCAGGTCATGCTCGAATGGCACTTGCCAATTTCATTTCGTTTCAGTGGAACACCAAGCAGAGAGTTAAATCTCAACCATTTCAACATCAGAATCGATTCTGTCGAGATGAATTTTCCAGTAGAAAGAAGAACACCATCTCGAATCGTACCATTGAACAATGTTTCTGTTTTTTTTTTTTCTTTTTTTTACTCGCGTTCCAGGTAACAAACGATCGGTGGTTGTTTCGATCGATTTTACGCGTCATAGTTTGAAAGTTTCTCTCTTTGTCGAGAGAAAGAAATAAATAGAATTTTTCGATTGCAAAATGTTCACAACCCTTCGATTGGAAAGCGTACAAATTGGTATTCATTTGAACGGGAAGAAAGAAAGAAAGAAAGAAAGAAAAAAAGGGAGGGAAAAGGGTTGGGTAGGCCAGCAGCAACAGCAGCAGCCAGCAGCAGCTTGCGATATTCGCATGAAGCATCCCTCCCTCTCTCTCTTCCTCCCTATCTCCCATCCCCTTCCTTTTCTTGCACATTTAAAACCACGTCTCGTAACACGATCGGTACAAGCGCGTAGATATGTTGTTCCGAGGGCTAACAACGTGTTTGTGGAAGGTATAATTGATGCGGGTCCCGTATCGCGTTTGCCCTTAAGAGAGTTTGGAACCGGGTTGAGAAAATATAGGTTGTCTTCGTGGCTCGGCCTTTGGAGTCTGCGGTCGCCCGCGGTGATACACGTTGGATGATATATTCTCAGCAACTGCAGCTGTGTGTTGTTGTTGCTGATGTTGTTGTTGTTGTTGTACGGTAAAGAAAGTCCAGAGAAAGAGAGGAAAGAAAAAAAGAAAGTTTTACGAAAAGAATATACATAGTCAAATCTTTTTTCATACCGATATGAACAAAATGTGTCAGAATTTCTCATGAAAAAGTGTCTTCCCTCTTACGAGCTTTTCTTATCAAATATTTCATAAAAGATCTTTTCAACTGATATATGTAAAGATCATCACATTTTCTTATTCCTTTTTTGTCCAGTTAATTTTTCCGGTCAACCAAGAGGGAAAATAAAACTCTTACGTTCGAGTAAACTTTAAGTGGGACTGAGAAAAGGGTGTCATAAAATGAAAATTATTTGTAACGTTATCACGAAACACAATACGGATTATAGTGTTTTGACAGTAAGAAAAACACGCGTGAAGAAAGAAACGAGATCATTATTTTTCTCTTTCTTTATCTATCTATCCTTGGTACGTTGTAATTTCACGGAAGAAATGGAATCGGTGAGCCGATAAGTCACTTCGTTCGTTCATTCGTTCATTCGTTCTTCCTTAACGTACCTAATTCAATGTTCCACGCATTGTCGTTAAGCTTTGCAATTGTGCGTAAAGTGTGTGACTATTTTTAAAACTATTTAATGACTATAATTAACAGTATTACTAGAATATTTAAATATTATTCTTGAAATTGTCTATGTAATAAAAAAAAGGAAGAAGAACAATTCTACAAAAGAAGATAGATAAATTTCGATTGGTATGATGATAGGTGGTTGATGATAGTTAAACGAACATGAACAACTCTTCTTCTTCTTCTTTCATTTTCCTTATCCTAATCTTTGATATAAAATAAACACAAGATACGAGAAAAAGTGGTGGTTGAATAATAAAAGTAGAAGGAGGATAAAGAGGAGGATGAGAAGAAGGAGGTACAAGAGGAAGACCGGTCTGGTGCGTTGCGTGCACGAGTCGCATTACCCCGTTGAATATTTCATTCATAACCGAGCCAAGCAAACTATCTTCGTATTCCACGAAGAAACACACGTCTGATCGTCGTAGTTTCTAGCCATATCCATGCACACATATATATGTGCACGTGTAACTTGCATATATAAGTTTATTCCTTCGTATCTTTAAGTATGTATGTGTAGTATGTATGCAAGTACACAATACTACATATGTGAAGACTAGCTCGAGGCCGTTGCCGTTGCAATTACGTTCAACGTCGGACCCCGTAGCCGTGAATGAAACGCCTGGCTTGTCCTTACCCCCTTCTTCGACCTTCCGCATCTTCTCTCTGTTTCTTTCTCATTTTCTTTCTTTTTTTCTTTCCTTCTCCCTTCATCTTTCTTCGTTTCTTCTATCCATCCTTATCCCAACCAGGTACAAAGTTGTTTTTGCATGCCAGAGAAATAATGGGCCGTGTTGCGCTGCTTTACATCGACCGTCGATGATGCACCTTGCTACGAAGAAGAAGAAGAAGAAGTAGAAGAAGAAGAAGACAATCCGAGACGAATTTTTCCCCCCTTTTGCGGAATTCCGCTTGCTGGCTGCCGTGAAATCCTTCAACCTACCTCTTTTTCTCTTTCTCTTTTTTTCTTACTCTAATGTCTCGTTACTAAAGTATACCAAGTGTAATTATATTATAATGTAATTATAATGTAATATGAATCAGTGTTTTAGATATAGCTTCATACGCGTGTTAATTAAAAAAAAAAATTAATTTATGTAATCGAACAATTTAATGAAATCAAACGTAATGAAGTTAACTATTCGATTATAGATTACATCAAATTAATTTACAAATACTTGTATTTAAACGAAATGAACAATGAAACATGAAAAATTGTTATGGAATGAAAAAAACATTCATCTTCTAACGTATCATTTTGTTTATGATTTTCAGAATTTCCGGGAGCATCGTATTGACGGTGCAGCGTTACCGTTATTGTCGGAGGAACACTTAAGAGGAACGATAGGTATGAAACTGGGTCCAACCTTGAAGCTTCGAGCAATGCTTGGACGGAAGCTTGGGGCGTGTACCGTTTGTCTTCATTGCGCACATTGCCATAAGACACCTTTACCAATGTTAAGTACGGCAGCTGCAGCTGCTGTCGTAGTTCAACAACAACAACAACAACAACAGCAACAATCACCACAACAACAACAACAGTCTCAACAACAATCTCAACAACAGCAACAGCAGCAACAACAGCAACAACAACAACAACAACAGCAACAACAATTGCAACAGGCACAAGGTAGACGTCCGAGTAGTACGGGTAACTGACAAATACTGGCGGGGGCTCCATCATTTGGCCTTGACGGAGCGCCTGCCATTACGATTGATACTACAGACCCAAACAGAGCCTTGAGGATAGAAAGGCGTATTCCACGGCCTATACGTAAACCCGAGGTTGTCTTCAAAAAACCGATCAAACAGTGACACTTGGAGAAACTTTACATACAAATTTTCAATGAACAAACGTTTTTCATTAGAATCATCATAATCGTGAACGATGACATATATATATATAGATATATATTTTTGGTAGTTAAAATATGAAGTGTCAAAGTTTAAGTGTGTCATTCAAGTTGGTACACTAAAAGCTTGCATTAACTTACTCATTGTTTGCGTGAGTATCATCATACTTGTTCGAATTTACAATGAAACATTTTGATCATAATCATCATCATCATCATCATCATCATCATCATCAATATCATCTTCTTATAAAAGAAGGATATAATAATTATTTGAATTGTCTGTGACAAGTGTTAAAAATATGGATATTGAATAACGTATCATCGACTATAGTAAAAAATAAACGAGAGAACAGAGACTTTAGTCGATGTTGAGATAAATTTGTATTTAGTATAAGAGTACCTAGAATACTGCTCAGAGATATTTTCGAGCATAAGCATGGAACAAATGTCACATTTTTATTATGTTTTTTTTTCTTTTTTTTTTTTTTTTAAATAACTATTTAGAAAATTTAATAACAGTCGTGGAATATAGATATATATATATATAAATTTATAAATTTATATATATAAATATATATTTTTATGTGTGTGAGAGAAAATAATAAAAAGATATAACAGAAAAATATAACAGATCAGGATATTAAATCTTGAACGTCTAAAGTAAAAAAAAAAATAAAAAAATAAAAAAAAACCATGTATAGAAATATTGTATAGGATTTATTAATTATGAAATAATCGAAGAGATATTTTGTTTGTTTTGTTTTTAAATGAAACGCACGTGCCTACGCTCGAAATGTCTTCCAGAAAGAAATGTCGTTTTACAATCACTCTATCATTTTTGTTATCGCGTTATACACATTTAACAATTCGATAGGTTTTTGCAAAAAAAAAAAAAAATAATAAAACCTTGATTAAATAAATTTATTAGTTATATAAATAAATATAAATATATATATATATTAAACGAGAAGTGCGAACACCTGAGTTAAGAATTTAAAATTGTGTGAATCGTATATTATTAAGTAGATATTATACTTAATATACACGCATTGATGAAAAATAATACGAAATAATAATAATAATAATTAATAAAAAAAAAATAAAATAAAATAAAATAATAAAAACCTGATGTAATTATTATTTGAGAATCATGTGCAATAAAATGATACGCGAGTTTCGCCGATTATTATTATTATTATTATAATAATATACGTACTTTTTGTTTTTCTTTTTTAAAACAAACGAAAATAATCTTATATTAGATTATTGTAGAAATGAATATGTGAAATGTTATCCTATCATAATATAATTCATACTACGTGTATATTGTAACGACGTTTTTGTATCGACGATTCTAACGATAAAAAATATGAAATTTTATATTTTTGCTAATGTTGTATATTGCAGGTGAACAAAAAAAAATACCCCCAGAAGAAAAGAATTATGGTAAAGGTGAAAATGAAAGAAGTTAATATAAATTCAAGGAAGGGTTGAAAAATGTTGAGCCTAAACAAAAAAAAAAACAAACAAAAAACATTTATATTTATGTTATTAAAAGCTGAAAATATTTTTGTTAATCCGTATTCAAGTATAATATTAATAAACAAATATATATATATGCGTATAAAGTATGAATGCGGCGAAACCGTATAGAAAATTGTACATTTTCTTTTTATTGTCTTTTTTCGACGTTCTTTACGAGTGTTTATTTATTTAGAGACTAATCGTTGCCTTATCGTATTCATATTGTAATAATAATAATAATTAATAATAATAATTATAATAATAATAATAATAATAATAATAATAATATTAATTACAAATCGAACGACTGTAGGTATATATATATAAATATATTATAACAGGTATGTTGTGTACATCGATGAAAGAATTATAATTTCGTACGGTATGGGATTCGTCGTATGAAGAAAATTAGAAATTACGACGATTGGTTGGTACGACGAGCAGTATTTTTAGATTTTACATTAGCCTAAATTTACTGCTAGTTATACGTGTAATAAATATATATGTATATGCACGAGGTTACTCAAGAGCAATTCAAGATTTGTTTCTATGACGAAAAACAAAAGTTTGTATTATTTTTTTTTTTTTTAATTAACTCATTTATCTTTCGCGATATAATTTGTTTATTATTAATCAATATACATTTATGTTATATAGAATAATTATTATTTTTTCTTTTAAATTGAAATTAAAGATAATCTTTATGTTTGAATTATATGAATTGACGAGAATAATGCAAATCTTGAAGTTGCCAATGAAGTACTCGAATCAGCGGCTTTTACTTAAATGAAAAAAAGAAGAATCATTGTACATAATGCTTAAGCATTTATTTATATTGTGCTTTTACAAAAACAAAAAAAAATGGACTCGTAGTATATTTTATTCAATGTTATAAACGATGTAAACACTTTCGTGCGGCAGATTGGTCTATTTATATAAAATAGTTATTACTATACATATATATATTGTACATTATATATATGTTATAATAATATCTTATTTTGTTTTTTTTTTATAAATGTCCAGCAATACTTATTTAATTAATAAATAATCGTTCAATTTTTTTTCGAATTTTAATTATTTCAAATAATACACAAATGAAATCTAATAAATAATAGTTCATTTTGTTTTCTATGATTTTTATTAAATAATTCAATTGTAAATCGTTTGATTAAACAAAACAATAAGTATTGCAATCAAAATTTTGTTCTACATTGATAGAAACGAAGTTGCACGATAAAAAGAGGACGACCGGTTTACCTGCTTTGTGATAAAAACCTAAATATTTTAATTCATCTTTTTTTTTTTTTATACACAATAACACACACATTATATACACACATACATACACAAACACACACGTATTTCCTCTTTAAGTTGTTTACTCAATGACTTCTCGATCTTCTTTATACATTTCTCTCACATTTTTCTTTTTCCTTTTTTCTTTTTTTTTTAATATAATTTCTTTACGAATGCGAGTCTCTGTCGTGTATTATTTTACTTTTAATTGTCATAATAATGTATAGTAGAAATTAATGGTGAAAAGAGAAAGAAAAAAACAAACAAACAAACAAGCAGTACATTGTTTCTGTTAAAATAAATTTGTTGAAAGATATATCCGTAGACCGTGAGATATCGGTCTTCCTATTTATAACCTGATTATAGAAAATAAAAATCACACGAGATTATATACACACACACATATATATATATATTAATAATTATGTTAACAAAACAAAACAAAAATCATTTAATCGGATCTATTTTGAAAAGGAAGGAACTTTCATGAATTTTCTCTTGCCTGTAAAAAAAAAAAAAGAAGAAATAATTATTCTCGATTAGTTTCGATAAAGTTTATAATCTCGTTTAATTTCATTGATTAATCCTAACAACTGTTATAGTGTGTATGTGAATATGTACTTACGTTAACATGAATAGCAATAACTCCGTCCTGTTCGTTTGTAAGTAACTCAATGTGAAGTTTTTTATCTGAAGTAACTTCAACCATTTTACCGGTACATCTGCCGTTCTTGAGATTTCCAGAAATGACGTCGCAATATTTGCCAGGAGGTAAGCAACTGTCAAATGTTTTTTTCAAATCCCAACTGTTGTTATTGATCGCTATGAATCCACGATTGCCACGACAAAATGCGATCTGATTGCTACCGTTGTCCCACCAATTATTTAACATCGTACCGTTAACTGCTACACGGAAACGTGCCATATTATATATTTGTCTCCAACGATGTTCACAAACCCAACCATTTCCACAAGTATCGTCATTATTGATAGTAGGTGAAAGAAGATTTCCATTGGAATCGGCCGGTGGACTATCGTTGAAGTCATTAAAAAAGTAAGAACTCATGACACGTGGTGTACCATAAGGATGAGCCAACATAAATGCTACTCCCATCTGAAACGAATTGACATTAAATTAATTCTATGATTATTTCATATTTTTGCAAAGTTTTTTTTTTTTTAATTATGGTGACAACTATATTCATCGTAAAATGTTTAAAAAATGTTAATTTACGTAACAGTGATATTGTGTTTTCTATATGAAATTAATATAAAAATATTATACAATTTTAATTATACCTTGTACAATTTCGAGTGTTTATAGGTGAGTGTACCAGAAGAACGTTGAGTGTCATGATTGTCAATAAATACCAAAGCATCATTCGATGGCATAAGACCCCAAGCTTCACCCCAACTATTAAACCACTTCAGATCATTATTACCAAATAAAGCATTGCCCAATTCGCGACCATATAGAAATTCCGTAACTGATGCAAATTCGTATTCTGATTTTTTAATCGCTTCACCACCGTTATCTATAACTTCTTGATATATGTATGGTCGGGAATTAGGTTTAAAACCATGTTTCGTATTTAAATTTTTAATTCGTGAATAGATTACTTTTAAATCCTCCGGCCACATGTGTTTTGCTGCATCAACCCTGTAAAAAAAAAAAAAAATGAAAAATAATAACACCACACAGTTAACATATTTTTCAATTGGTTTGTTTTTATTATAAATAATAGAAAATTTGTTTTAATTTTAATTTTATAAAAGAATTTCTTTTTTTTTTTTTCAAGATACAATATATTCATTGAAATTTGAAATAAATTAATTGACGAAAAAGAAAGAAAAAAGAAAAACACGTGTGCACTGACCTAAATCCAGCAACTCCAGCATCGACAGCTGCGTTCAAGAACTCAACAATTTTTTCCCTTACGTTTTCTTTGCTTTGATCAAGATCGTGAAGACCAAGCAATTCACAATTGCGAACGTTACTTGTATTAGAATAATCCGTTATTTCGCAACGCGAATGAAAATCTTTAGCTGTGTAAGGTACAGCAGGATAATCGAGATTATCGGTGTCTGCTTTTGAACCACCAGTTCCAATAGCATTTTTGTGAGTACCAGTCATGTGATTGAACACAACATCGACGTATATTCTTACGTTGGCTTTGTTACATCTTCTTACCATGTCCTTGAATTCTTGTTCATTACCAGATCTCGTTTTCCATATGTAAGATATTGGTTGATATCTTTCAAACCATGGTCGTGATGCTATGATTACATTTTCTTGAATCGGTGATACCTTTAAAAATTATTAAATATAATAAATAATTTAATTGGGGAAATCTTTGATTAATTTATTACAAAATTAATGATATATAATAATCGTAGGATAATTAAAAATATTTAAATTATATAAGTGTTACAGTAAATACAATTCTTTCAGGAAAATATAAAAGCAACTTATTATATTGAATGTTCTATCTACTTTTGAACATTTATATAAGAAAAATTAAATACTTAAATAAAATATTATAAATTTATATAATATATATTAAATAAAAATATTATAAATTTTATATGTAAATAAATTATAAGTGTTACAGAGTTAATATAATTCTTTCAGGAAAATATAAAAGCAACTTATTGAATGTTCTATCTACTTTTGAACATTTATATAAGAAAAATTAAATACTTAAATAAAATATTATAAATTTTATATTTAAATAAATTATAAGTATTACAGTTAATAAAATTCTCTTCCAGGAAAATATTAAAACAATTTATTAAATGTTCTATCTACTCTTTTGAACACTTATATAAGAAAAATTAAATACACCTACGATCAATTTCTTCGTATTGAATTTAAAAGGAAAGTTTGACGTTTTTATTTTCATATTATTCATTGATAATATTGCATTCTAATTGATCATTACAATAGAATGATCATATTATTTCAATCTTCGAGTAAAACTTATTCCTAAGAATTAGTTAACAACCTAACAAAAAATTCTACAATAATTTTAAATTAAGAAAACTACAAATCGTCAAACGAGGAAAAAATATTTCTTCGAGTGGTCGATGATCATCATACATACGACCATGACATAATTTCATTTATAATAATCAATTTTATCTACATTTTTCTGCTATCATTTTATAAACAGAGAATATATAAGCTCGTAAATTATTATAATCTGACGAATATTTAAACAATTATTATTATTAAATATCATTACTGACCGTATAATTTGGCAAACACGTTGTCAAATAAAGCACGTTCACTAAGATTACGATAATAATAATGAAAAATTTGAAAGATATCTTTTCAATCAGTTTTCTTCGTTTTAAATAATATGGAATTTAAACTTGTTACTTTGAACTGTGTATTATCGTCACGTATTATAATAAAAGAAAAAAATGAAACATTTTGTTCGAATGACACTTTTAAGAAGAATCACAGTAATAAGAATTTCAAATGGAAAATGAAACACAAAGTTCTCGATTCTACGAATAAGTAATAATCGTTTTTTCATTATTCCGTTATTAGTTTATTTAACGTTCCTGCAAAATTCCTTTCATTTTGTTATGAATCAATCCGTCCAACGTACGACACACAATCTTTTTAGTTTAAACGTATTGGATATTAAATATATATTTTTTTTTATCTTTTTTAATTCTTTTTCGTAATTCGTTCTTTTACCTTACTACACAGCTACGAATTCTTTTCTTTCATTAATCATACCAATACACGTAGAAAACTACGTATTTCTTATTACGTCAGACGTATTTCAAGCAACACAAAAATTCCAAATCTATTCACACATGTATTTCTACGTGTTCTATTCGTAGGAATCTTTTAAAGACCACAATTGATTCAGGTAAAGAGAGAAATCAATCACGATTTACATTTTATGCTTTACACTATGCTATATTTTTATTTCATTAATCATTTCTCTTTCTATATATATATATATCATTATCTTCTTATATTTACGTACAATTTGTATAGGATCGTGATTAATAAAAAATGAACACACAAATGAACAAATCGATCTATCTAACGTGTGTAATTTAATTTTTTTTTTCTTCTTCTTCTTTCTGTTCTTCATACATATCAAGGATTTTTTCTTTTTTCCAACAAAAAAGTAAATATTAAATGATAAAAATGTTTTCACATTGATATTAGCTGACCTTCATTATTCTATATTAGTAAACACAAATGAAATGATTCATCTTAATCATAATCATCATCATATGTTTATAATTTGAGCCGTTCAGTGTACACATCGATTAAAACTCCACTTTTTGAAAAATCATCAATTTAATCGTCAAACCACTTGCTATAGTCATAACTTTTTATATTTATAATAACTTTCTTCAGAATAATGAAAAGATCAACACCATTTCACAACTTTTTGTTTTATGGAGTGTTAATCGATGTGTTGTGCACTGAACGGGGCTTAATAAAATATATTTATAATTACCTGTATACCACCGTAACCCATAGGTCCTAAAAATCTTTCACACTCATCAGCAATGTCTTTAAATTTCCATTCAAAAAGATGTACCATAGTATCGTGGCCGTTGACATAATGAGGATCTTTGTAAGCAGCCGTCAAAGTGAATAACAGTGGCAATACACTCACGAGTAACGTCATTCTGATGTCTGATCACGCAAATTACTTGTTTCACAGGATATACTTACATGAATATATATATATATATTTAAATACACATAAATACATAATATGTACACGTACGAGAAAGAAAACTTAACACTTATACATTGAAACGTCTGTCTAATCGTTTCTCGCATATACGAAGGTCGTTTTATTTACCGTACGTTATCGATAATATCGAGTAAAATGCACTATCGTTCAATTTCTAGGAACGATAAGATCACTTAAGAAAACCATTTTATTGGTTAACTTCGGGTGGAGGGGGGTGGGGGTATATTATTACACAGGTTTTTATAAAGAAAACTGGCAGGAAAAAAATAGTTAAGATAAATTGTTTTTCTCTTTTTTTTTTCTTTTTTTTTCGTGTCTATATTATGTAGTGTATTTTTTTTTTGCTTTTTTTTGTTTTGTTTTTATGTGTGTATAGTTTATAATTATTTTAAACGCAATAACATGTGCTATACCATCTGTATACATATTTATGCTCATCTAATTTATGTATTTATTAGTTTATTACGTTTGTTAAATTGATAAGGTAGTTTTTTTCAAGTGTGTGTAATAGTTGTATATAAGAACCCAAAAAATTGAACACAATTTAAACCCCATACGAAGAGTAAAATAAAAAAATTATTAATAGGTTTTATAATTGTATTTATTAAAAAAAGAAAAAAAATATTAAATATGAAATAAAAAATTGTCTAATTTTATATACGAGTGAAAAGATATATATTTTATTTTTTCGTAAATTAGTTAATTTGTTGTAAACTGTTAGAAAGCAACATAAATCAAATCAAAACAAATATCTTGGCTGTTATTGTTCCCACTCTGATTACGCCACTGCTATCATGCGACCTCCCATTTTATAAAGATATAGTATCGCAATTATATTGTCTGTGTGCAGACGTAATCTGGAACTCTTGTGACATTTATTATATTGAATTGATATTATTCTTTTAACAACATCTGTATAAATAATATATATATATAGTGCAACTTGTTAGATATAAGAAAGAACTTTGTTCCATTTATTAAATCATTATTGAAAGTTTCATTATTTGTGTTATTTGTATAATGTCAAGTAAGAGATTCAATACAAACGTAATCATTTGTTTGATAGACAACAATTTATTGCAAGATATCAAATATCAAATGGAAACTTAATAGAAAAATTTTTTTTTTCTTTTTTTAGACAAATTTTATGCACTTGTAGATACAAATGCAACCCTTTTATTATTCGTTTAAATCGTTAAATTGTAGAAATTCAATCAATATTGATTGTTGATGATAATAATAATTCAATGGAAGAATTTAATCATGACAAATTGAAAATAAAATGTAATATACGATGAAAATATAATTTTAAAAATTCGCCAAAATGTTGACTCTCTTTCGTAATCAGGGGGACTATTTTATTTTTTTTTATTACTCATTAAATAATATAATAATAAATTCCATTTAAATGAAGAAGCATCTGATTCGTTGCATCACTTTATTGCATTTCTTCGTAGCTGAAAAAAAAAAAAACAACTTGTCATTCAAATTTAACACCTACCTCCTCTTCAATATTCAGTTCTTTGCAAAATGGCAGATATTTAGCTAATGATAACTTAAAAAATGATTAAATTTACCAACACTTAATAACAGTTGAATAAAATAAATCTGAGTTTTGTATTTCAGTTTGATTTAAAAAAAAAAAAAA